GGGAATGAGGGATTTTACTTCAGTCTCTCCCTCTGGGGGGTGATGTGTGTTACAGTTTCTCTCTCTGCTTGTGTGTTAAGTCTTTCTCCCTCTATGATTTTTGTGTGTTACATGTCCTCAGGTAATGAAGATGAAAGAGGACTTTGATGTATGTCTGACAATCTCCCCCCTTCTTGGGATTGCGTGGGGACTTTTGCTAGACATTTCAATGAGGAATCTAGCTCATTCACAGAGTCCTCCCTGAGCAACAATTTGCAATACTTACACCACCCTTCCCTGGTACTATTCTTGTATGTTTGTGTGCCAGCCAGCCTGTGATCAGTGTTTTGCAAGTGTGTGTAATGAGGGTTTGTTGGTGAAATGATACTCACTGAGGGGGAGGGGGAGAAGGAATGTGTGTGAGTGTCAGAAACTCAGAAGCACACAGGGAATGGAGGAGCAGCCAGCAGCCAACAGCTTTGTGCTGCTTTCTCCTGCTGCTCCAGGCCTGGAAGTCAGAAACCAACCCCTACCCAGCTGCTGCTACTGGTGGCGCCCCAGGGTCTAGTAACTCACCCCTGGAGGTGAGTAAGCAGCCCTCCCACTCCCAGTGCTTTAGGGTGTCTAAGGAGCTGTAAAGGGTTTTTTGTGTGGTGCTTAGGAGTTGTGCGTGCCTGTCCCAGAGCAGCAGGCTGAACTCTCAGGGTGAGTGACAGCACCAGCAGGTGCAAGGGATGGTGGCAGAGGGGGGAGTTTCACTTTCCAGGCAGGGCCCCTAAACACTGATCTCTGATAACTCAATGAAAGAGCTCTTTTACTGGGGTGGGAAGTGAAAACTGCCCAAGTTGCAGGGAAGAGATGATTACAGTGAACTGCAGGGGACTGAAGGGGGGATTGGAAGTGATAAAGAAGTGTGCTGAAAGGAGTAGCAGGGAGAATGGGGGGGTTAGCAGGTAGGATGTGTTTTGCAGAAGATGGAAGGAGGAGCAGTAACTGAATGGGCTGCAGGGGAGATAGAAGATGACTGAATGGGCAGAAGCAGGTGGCAGATGGGATATGGGGAGATAACTGAATGAAACTCAGTGAGGGTTTGGAGGTGATATCTGTTGGGGTTGCAGGGTCCTGATAAGGGATGGGAGTTTAATAGTTCTTAAGAGGTTAGCTATGTGGGATCCATGGGGAGAAATGTTAGGGGGCACAAGGGGATGAAGTAGTATCTGTGTGGGGCCGATAGGGTGGGGAATGAAGGAGGACAGCTCTGTGGGATCCATTGGAGGAACTGTGGGAGGATAGCTGTGCTGGAGCCCTGGGTAAATGCTGCCTTAGGCTGTTCCCCCTATGAGCCCCACACAACAATGGGGCAAGATAGCTGTGTGGGGCCCATGTGAGCAGTGGGGCAAGGTAGCTGAGTGGGGCCCATGAAGGGGAAGGGAGTGAGATAGTTCTGTGGGGCGCATGGGGAATGGAGGGCAGGTAGTTGTGTGGGAGACACAATTGACCGCCCGCTTCTCTTTTTCCCGGCTGCCCCGGACAATCCCGAACATCAATCCCCGCCCCGATTGTACTTCAGTGCTGCCCCCTACCCGTGCGTTAGGCAGGGAGAAGACCCCCTCCGCCCCACACTCCGTTTTCCGGGCCCGCCCGCCCCGATGTGACTCCTTCGGCTCTGTGTGGGTTTACAGCCAGGAGCGCGTCGGGCTCGGAGCTGCCGCGGCGTGTGGAGGGAGCTGCGTGCGGGAAACGTGCTGCAGGGACTTTGAGGCCGGTGTGAGGCGGGAGATGGAGCCCGACAACGCGGTGAGTAGCGGGGACCCGGCCACTCAGGAGATAAGCGGAGCCACAGGCGACGCCGCCCCCAGCTCCACAGGGAGGTTCGGAGTGGGGTGGCTCCCGGGGGAACGTGCCTTAGGGCCTACGACTGGTGCTGTGAGTGACTTCCCTGTGGGTGTGACGTACGGCAGTGAGTGTTGGCTGTGCGGAGGCGCGGGGCTCTGTGGCGAAAGGGCTCAGAGACTCGGGGTGAAAGGATGTGCCCTCCCCCCATTAAATAGCCAGTGCCTGCCCGGCCTGTGTGAGGGGGCGGAGACGACGGGGGCGGTGAGCGAGGCAACTGCTCCCTAGGCCGGGCACGGCTTTCCCGCCAAAACCGTCAGGGAGGGCCAGCCCCGCCCACCGCTCGAGCGAGCCGTTCGCTCCTCCCCAGCGCGAGCTCTTTCCACCTCCCGCCGCTCGAGCGAGCCGTTCGCCCCTCCCCGGCACGTGCTTCTCCTCGCTCCCGTTTTAGCACGAGGCTTTTATCCCGCTCCCCTCCCGCAGGGTGGATACCTACTTGAGAGTGAGGGCGGGGCTGTTCTGTTGCAGAGGACATTTTCACTGAGGATGGGGGGAGCTGGTGTGAGGAGATTCAGGAGGCCTCCGGGTCTTGCTGAGAACTGACACACGTTACTGGTTGTGGGGAGCTCCAGTGTTCTATTTATTTTCCTCAGTAAAGGGTCAGTAAGGAAGTTGGGGCACAGGTAACCCCACCGCCCTCGGGCTGTCTCCCTCTTGGTCATCTCTTCCAGCAGGGTGTAACTGCATGTCTCAGTGAAAAGCAATCTGTGACAACACCATAGTATGTAGGTACACATCAGTGAAAGCTTCTGGCAGGGGGAGGCAGCAGAAGCGTATGAACTCTACACAGTGCCAAAAGCAATGTGATGGTGGGATTGTACCAGGGATCTGCATAGTACCGCTGACTTTAGCTATCATGCATAAGAGCACTAGTGTAGATGTAGCAGCTCGAGTTTCAACACAAGCAAGCAACCAGAGGTGGAGTGGTAAAAGAGGAAGTGGGTAAACTAACCTACACTAAACTCTCTATTCCCCAAATGAGAGTTGACTACATTACTGCAAGTAACCAGAATACAAACCTGCTGGGAAGCATGGGTACATAGTCTGGCTGCTAACCTGTGGCACCATGTCTTACTATTATTATTAGTGGCCCATGCCTGCTAGATTAAAGCCTGCAGGGGAAGCTGCTACAACTACACCTTTACTGGAAGTGTAGGTATACCCTGCACTTGTCAAGTGTTGGTCACGTCTCCTTTCTCTGTTAGGTAGCTTAAACTTGTGTAGATCACCTCCCTCCTCCCCACTATTCCTCTATAAAATGGGCTTAATGATACATACCTTAGTAAAGCATTTGAAAAAGCAGCTAAGATGCTCAGATAGCAAATCCTGTGCAGTAACTGCAGTTATATTATTGAAACTTCTGGGTTTTGGGGATATGGTATTTTCTTGTACAAGTAAGGGAAAATGCACTTATCCCCCATTTTTAAAAATAGCAAGCCTTCTCTCTGTTTAACTACCCTGCTGACTTCTCTTGTGAAACAACCACAGTATTTTAGCTCTAAACTTAAAATACATTTAATTTACAAATGTTCAAAATGTAATTGTACACAAATTTTTGGAGACATGATGTATAATCTGCTGCAGAGGTATGGTTTGAAATATAAGGAAAAGATTGGATATGTAACTCTTGGGTTTTTTATGTCTAAAATGTATGAGACAGGAAAGGTTAATTAGAAGAGTGGATTAATCATTTTGCCATGATAAACTTCTAGGCCATAGCAACCACCTCCTCCAACAATTCTTTTAAAAGTTTTGTTCAGCATAGTGTTTTAAAATTCAGATGGTGAAAGGCACTACCTTCTGTGCATTGTAAATAAAAAAAAACCTCTCAGTCTGTATACTGGTGGGAGTGACACTTGATAGACTGGCAATGCTATGATCCTAATTTTAGGGAACACAAGATGTTTTTAGCCTACTTTGTTACTAGTTAAACATTAAAAAGATAGGCAGTTAAAGAAAATATTTCACTAAAATGCAATTCTTAATTTTTCAAAAAACATTATTTGGTGCTATACTGAAATTATTCAAAAGGAAAAGTGAGGATTAAATGTGTCAATTTGATTTCTTTAAAAAGAACTGAATTTTTCACTTTTTCTGTACAAATTTTAAAGTAACACTTCTGTGTATATAGCAGTATTTTTAAACTCTTTGGATAAGGGACTGCATCTCTTATTTGTCTTAAACGACTGCTTCTCTTAAACTGCTATAATTTACTCTTCCAAGCCAACCAAAAAGCCCACTTATGCAATCATCTGGGACATCAGGCAGAAAGATGTCGACCTGCCTCACAACTGACCTCTGCAGTGCCTGATCTCTCTTCTTCCCACTGGTGGGACTGTGGAGATTGTTCTGGGACTGGAATTACCCTTGCACTTCTGCTGGAAGAGGGAAAGGGACAGGGTGGAGGGAAGACAAACCTAATTTGTTTTAATATTAAGAACCAGCTTGGCAAGAGAAGAGGTTTGGGATAGTTAGGGGTGGATAGGTGGATTTACCCCCCCCCCCCCACTTTCTCAGTCACCACGAAGTCATGTGTTTCCTACAGTATAATGGTCTGAAAACTACTAGTGTGTGATAGAATAAATTCAGAGTTTAGTTGAGGAGTTGTTTTTGGAACTGAACGGTTCCTGTTAGTTTTCCTACCTGACTGAAAAGTCAGTTAGGGAGGAGGCCACCCCAGATGGTAGGGTGGCACTTTGCAATATTGGGCTCCTTTAATATCATACCTCAGCACCTAGGTATGAGCAGGGAAGTCTGCAGCCTTATCTGCATAGCCATAAATGTTCCAATGCTACTTCCATTGGGATACAAGTAGGCCTTCAGAATTTAAGGGTCTGACCAAACTAAGACTACTCTGGCAGATTCCAAATCATGGAGAGGCAATAGCCCAGTACTTGGAACTCATGCAGTAAATATTGGAAACTTCAAATCCAAGTCTACCAAGTCCTGAAATTAACTGTTTTGAATATTTGAACATGAATGCAATTCATGGATGCAGTCTTATATTGTATAGGGTTTGGTTCCTGGCTACCTGAACGACTGTCTCTTTCCCTTAGTGCCATCATGACAGTTGATATCATGTGAGATACTCTTGTTAACACTCTAGATTTAAGTGTATAGAAGGTGTAGGCAGACTATTTTCAGTGCAGGCACTTGGTATTGTATTTGCTTTCCCAACTGGTCCAACAGAGCCAAAATCTGTTGAACTTCAGAAAGCAGTGCTGAGTCTATATTTTCATCGTTTGCCTGAAGCTATTAACTGTGAATGATGTGTGCAAGCCCAGTTCATGGGGTGGCTTTGTGTTGGTATGAATCAATGTACTGATTAGTGTTTTAATATTATTCATGAACCTAGGGACAAATGTGACAGGTATATTTTATACATTTAAAAATAAATTATTATTAGCAGATGATTCTAGTCAACAGATTACTCCCTAAAAAGTGTATTATAAAAACTATTAAAATTTTAAATGCTAAGATATTTTATATTCCACAATATCAGACAAGTTTGGTTTCAAGTTTCAAAGAATATAATGTCTTCAATTCAATCCATTAATCTTGAGGAATTTTTATTAATATGAGGAATCATTTTCCATAGTAGATTGCTTTGTGATATACCAGTTCTCAGCCATATAGAGTTTTATAAACTTTGGAACCAGTGCGTTGGACTGTACCTGCAAACAGTTTTGAACATAGCATACAGTTCATATAGCACTGATCTCATATGGTCATGTGGACTTACCCCACAGTGAATAGACTGCCACATTCTATGCCTGTTAACTACTATGAATATTCTTCAAAGATAGCCCCAAATGGACAGTACTGCAGTAGTTCAGCCTAGTAATGACAAGCATGGATTAGTGTTGCAAGGTTTGCCTCATCCAGGAAAGAATACAATCAAATAGCTGGTCACAAATGGAAACAAAAATTGTATGAACCTGTGACAGGGTGCTCTACTCACTGCTGGACAGCACCATCTCCTGGCGATTAGCTCTGTGAGGCTGACACCCATCCCTGTGATGGCACTCCGTCTCTCTCTCTCTCACTTCAGGTGTTGCTGCTTCCTCTTCATGACTTAGCTCTCCAGCCAAGTCACTCAGCGGGTACCCCTTTGGGGGAAGCAAATTGTCTTTCAAAGTCTCTTTTCACAAGCAGTGTCAGGCAGTCCCTCATTTGCTGCCCTATGTGATTCTATCCTTGACTCTGGCAGTTTTTATAGCCATTGCCCTTAATAACACCCTCTACTCTAGGTTCCAGTACAGGGCCCTGTAGGGAACAGTTAAGGGCTGCAGCTGCACCCCTCACTGCTCCCCACCGAACACCTTTCTACCATGCTGCTTCTCCCCTACCTCAGGGTAGGGGACTGCAGGCTTCCTCCCTGATGCTTCCCTTCACTATAGCCAGCCTCCTATCTTTATAGAAGCCCCTCCCATTTGAACTTCCTTCTAATTAGCTTTCTCCAGCTTAAATCTCCCCCATTTGCAGCCAAATTGGCTGATTGGGCCACCCTGGCCTAATTCGGCTCTTGCAGAGCCAGTGTGGGGAGTACACCCCATCACAGAGCCACTGCTGCTTCCTGGTAATACAAGCACAATGTGGACCAGAAGTATGCAAAGATTGTAAACCAATTTAGCAGGAGAGGACCCTTGCCAATACGTAGACCAGTTACATACCTCCTCAGTTCCTCAAATTGCTTTTCCCCCACTGTCAATTCACTCTTTCTCCATGTTGGATCTGTCAACTTGTTCTCATCAAGGTCTTGGCCAGACATTTGGAAACTCCATTTCAACAGAACCAGAGCTAGAACTGGGTGTCACTGGTGTACAGATAGCATTGCAGCCCCAAATGCCTTACAGTTTCCTTGAGATGTCTAATTTATATAATAAAAGATTCTCTCTGTCATT